AGTTCACAGTAAACATAACTTGCCAGCTCTTCTTCTCATTATGAAGAATAAAATAAGTGATGTAAGGATTCTTCCAGTCAATAAATTTTAAAAGAACATAAAACCAAAAATAAGTAAAGATGAACAAAATTTTAGAAACTAGAATACAAAGTTAAAGACAAGAAAAGAATTAATTACAAATGGAAAAATAGTATAATTAATAAATAAACCCAAAGCCCATTTTTTGATAAAAGAGAAATCAAAACAAAAAAAAAAAAATCAGAAGAGAAACCACGAATGAACAAAGTCAAAAATAAAAAAGAAACTAGGAAAATAAATATACTTTAAAAAATACGATTCTATTATATACAATCCAACATACATTTCAAAATCTAAATAAGATGAGTAATTTTTCTGGAAAAAAGTTATCAAAATTTAGATCTTGACAGAATGATTCTGAAGTCCATCTGGAAACAAAATGATTACAGTAGACAGAAGAACTTTGTAAAAGAAGATCAGTGAACAGAGATGAAATCATATCATAGAGATACAGTAATTAAAATATTATGGCATTCACGCAAAAATAAACCTACAAATTTTCACACAAAATGCAAAAACCAGTAAAAGAGAGAGATAGATAAAACTAAAGATGGCACTAAAAGTAGGGAGAGGTGAATTTAGTTTAAGATTAAAATAGCATCATAGTATTATTCAATAAATAGCACTGAGAAAATTGTTAACTCTTTTTTAAAAATTATAATCCATATGTCTAATAAAATTCCCTATGAAGCCCTCCAGATGTACAAGATACTGCTAATAAATCTATAGAACATCCCTGGCTAGACTCTAAGTTCCTTGAGGACAAGCAATGAATACTATACTTATTTGATTTTCTTCCTCCACCTAGAAAGCATTCAAAGTAAACATCTCTTGAATGAATGAACAAATGAATGAATGTCTCAGTCAATCCATCACTGTTGAATTTGTTGGGCTGGGTGATTTCCAACTGCAACCTGCCCAACTTGATGCACTTGTGCATTATTCCCTCCTGAGTTGGTTTAGAGAGAAGAAACAGAAACCCCTCCCAGTAGTGAGTTGCAGCTGCCCATGGCATGCAAGGCTCTTTACATGCCTGTTCTCAGATTCATGGAGAACCTGTCCATGTGGCCATACACAGGTAGGAGGTGGCAGCCACTGAGGGGCAGGGTGGAGGGCAGTCATTAGTATGATGGTACCCAGCTAAGGTCCAGGGTAGCTGATCCACAAAGGATGCTGCAGTGCCCATCAGTGTCCAACACATCAAGTCCCTGTGCAACCCTGCCTGTCTTCTGGGGTGAATGAGGGACCCCAAGGAGCAGGGCTTAAGCTGGCTTGACATGAGGCAGCCCCATGAGAATACCAAGTGGCCGACACCTCTCAAACTGGAGCTTCCCGAGAACCAGCCTGCAGTCATCTGAACCGACACAGGCCAGTGGTCTCCACAACTCATCTGCCCAACACCCTTCCTTGCCAGCTCTGCACTCAGAACACATCTGTGCAGCCCCATTCAGAGCCCTGGATGCTGGTAAGAAAGCATGGCCAGTTACAACTCAGTGTGCACTACACAACAATAAAGAACCAGGATGAATCCCAAAACATCTCACAACATAGATGAATCTGGAGGGCATTATGCTGAGTGAAGTAAGTCAATCACGAAAGGACAAATATTGTATGAGACCACTATTATAAAAACTCAAGAAAAGATTTACACACAGAAAAAAAAAAAAAACTTTGATGGTTACAAGGGAGGGGAAAGATGGGGAGGGGAAACCACTAACTAGATAGTAGACAAATGTCAAATTTGGTGAAGGGAAAGACAACACACTGTATAGGAGAAGTCAGCACAAGTTGACCAAGCCAAAGTCATAGAAGATTCCTAGACACATCTAAACACCCTTAGGGATCAAGTTGCTGGGGTTGAGGGCTGGGGGACCATGGTCTCAGGAGACATCTAGGTCAATCGGCATAACATTGTTCATAAAGCAAATGTTCTTTCTACATCCTACTTTGGTGAGTAGTATCTGGGGTTTTAAAAGCTTACTAGCAGCCATCTGAGATACATCTATTGGTCCCATCCACCTAGAGCAAAGGAGAATGAAGAAAACCAAAGGACTAATGGACCCCATGAACCAGAGTCTCCACCAGCCTGAGCCCAGAAAAACTAGATAGTGCCCAGCTCCCATCACCTATCACTCTGACAGGATTACAGCAGAGAGTCCCAGACAGAGCGGGAGATAAATGTAGAACAAAATTCAAATTCACAAAAAAAGACCAGACTTACTGGTCCAACAGAAACTGGAGGAACCCTTGAGACTCTGGCCCCCCAACAGCCTGATATCTCAGAACTGAAGCCACTCCTGAAGCCCACTTTTCAGCTAAAGATTAGACAGGCCTATAAAACAAACAATAACACATGTGAGCAATGTGCTTCTTAGTTCAATCAAGTATCTGAGACCAAGTGGACTTCTCCTGCCCAAAAGCAAGACAAGAAGGCAGGAAGGGTCAGGAAAACTGGACGAATGGACACAGGGACAAGGTGGAAAGGGAAAGGGGGAGAGTGCTGACACATTGTGGGGATTGCAACCAATGTCACAAAACAATTTGGGTATACATTTTTGAGTGAGAAACTAATTTGCACAGTAAACTTTCACCTAAAGCATAATAACATATAAAAAATAATAATACCTCAGTGTGCGCCAGGTAAAAATAAACAGATAAATACATAGAATGAATCTCCTGTCAGAAAATAAATGGCGCTTCTCCAGACCCAGAACCTGAATTATGCTCCTGAAGGGCAAACAGTGTCTCCTGGGCCGCCAGCCTCTGGCCAGAAAGTACAGGCTTCACTCAACCCAGTGTTCCCACGGCTTCCAATGCTAAGGAGGCCCACCCTGAGCTCCAGGGCTGTGAGAATTACTCCCCTCTTATCTCACCTGCCGGATAGGTGCATCTAGGCCTTGCTGGAGCTGCCCTGGGCCTGGTTTGAATAATACCCTAGTGTGCTCAGCTGCTGCCAGCCAACCTTCTGTCAGTTATACAACAAAGAAAAAGGGCCACTGCTCAGAGAAGCCTCAGAGAACTCATCTCCTGGTGATTCATAAAGGTCCCCGGGTGGCGCAAATGGTCTGTGCTCCACTACTAACAAAAGGTTGGCGGTTCAAACCCACCCAGCAGCTCCTCAGAAGAAAGCCCTGGCAATCTGCTTCCATAAAAGATCACAGCCAAGAAAAGCCTATGGAGCAGCTCTACTCTGCAACTCTTGCGGTCGCCATGAGTTGGAATCGACTCGATGGGTTTGGTTGAGTTTGGTTATTCATAGCAAAGCTAGGGCGGGGGGAGTGAGGGAAATGGAAAGCAAGGATTTGTGAAAGCCCCAGATGATTTCGAAACTTCACTTGGTTAGTCATTTCACCCTTGTCAAGAGTTGCTCGAAAGGCACAGACTATGCTACACCTCCTCAGCAGGGCTGCTCAGCAGAGCCCGGCCACAGGAGCCTCCCAACCCCTCCAGCCAGCTGATGTCTGAGCCTGGGGGCCTCTTCCTTGCACCTACTCAAAGTGGAGGCCTGCCCAAATCAATGCACATCCCGCCCTAATCCCAACTCAGAGGACCTCTCCTACAAAACCCGCCCACCAGAGCCTTGCCCTTCTTCAAGGTCACCAGGTTCTGCAGGTCCCCTTTGGAGGGGTCAGGCCCTTCCAGGCTCTATTTTCCACTTCTGTGTCCTGTGTCCACACATGCCAGCTGACAGCCCAGAGATCCAAGGGCCTGCACTTTCCTCCCGGGCCACCAGTCTATCCAGCTGCAGTGAGAAGCCACTGTCCTTAAGAAGGCGGGCTCCACAGATCAGCTAACATCTCCCAGCTGCTCTACTGGAAACAGCCCCCCGCGGCCAGCCAGCAGCCTCTGCAGTGTCACCTTCTCCTTCACATAAATAAGAAAGCAGATAAGTTGGACAAGAGGCAGGAACGCTCTCCAAGGATCCAGCCTCCTTGCTCCCTCATCTCCTCCTAATAAAACCGATGGGCTGCAGGTTGGAAAACAAGTTATGGCCCCACTGGCCCCGAGCCCAGTCTCCCCCCCCCCCCCCCCCCTGTGAGCCGTGACTGTGCACACAAGGCACCGTGGTCTGGACCATTACACTCGAAAGCAAACATGGCGGCCATCTGGGACCATTTTGACTTCTCTGCTTTAGAAAGTAAATTTAAGCTCCACGTTACAAGACGGTGTTACAAGGGATGCAGCCCTGGAAAACAGTCAGGAAAGCTGATTGCAGCTGGGCTTTAGCAGATGCCACATCTAGGCTAAACAGCTGGTCAGATCTGCCTAATTGAACCTCTATTCTGGAAAGAGTTCTTTCCACCTCTTTTTTTTTTTAATTATTTTTTTAATTAGGGGGTTGGTTTACCCAGGATACAATGGAGCATTCTACCACATTCTTTAGGATGGCTTTAGTCACTGTGTTCCCAGTTTTCCTCCCACCCCTAGCCCCTACCATCAACCCCTAGAGCTGGACTTGTTACAACAGGAGCAGAGGCATTTAACATAATTGCTGTCGACTCCCACCTGGACACGGCTTCCAGTACATGGGCACAAATCAGACATGGCCATTAGCAGAGCCTAAACCTCCCCTGCAGCTGGGCCCCACTGTCAGTGACAATATGGTAACATGACAACTTCACTGGTAACAAAGACTCCATACACTGGAAAATACCTCTGAGACAGTCAAAGATGAGCCCTCCATCAGTATCCAAGGAAACCAAAATATTCACCATAGATTTTTCCGGCTACAAGTTATGTCCCACATGAAGAAGTCATTCAGGTGACATTTTCTCTCTGAACTTTTTTCCAAGGCACGAGACAGTTTGACTCAGCCACTACTGCCCATGGCTGGCAAGGGCCTGGTGTTCTCACCTTAGATTCTCAATAGCCACAAATGCCCTCCTTGGGGGGCTAACCACCAAACAGGGCAGGCTCCTTACCGTCGAGCTCCTCCACGGAGATGTTAGCAAGCTGTTCGCTGTCGCTGCCGGCGGACAGAGATCGGTTGAGGTAATTCCCCTTGTACAACAGGCCAGCAGTCACATGGTGGAACGGCATCTTCTCCCTGGTCACAGAGAACAGGGGAGAGAGAAAGACATCATCATTCTTTCCATCCCAGTTCTCAGACAGCAAGAGCTACTGGTAAAATAACAACAATTCTAGAGGGACAGTCAGAAAATTCCCAGTGTCCCAACGGCCTGAGCAATTCCCAAATGACCTCACTTTCTATTCCTTCCTTCACTTCACATGTTCCTTCACTTCTCCCCATTGAACTTCATTTCCCCCCATTTAATTTCATTTGTCTCCATTTGATTAATTAAGGAGTGGTGGTTCAGTGGTAGAATTCTTGCCTTCCATGCAGGAGATCCAGGTTCAATTCCCAGCTAATGCACTTCATGTGCACTCATCACCCGTCTATCAGTGGAAGTTGATGAGTTGCTATGATGCTGAACAGGTTTCAGCGGAGCTTCTAGACTAAAACAGACTAGGAAGAAAGGTCTGGCGATCTACTTACGAAAATCAGCCAATGAAAACCTTACGGATCACAATAGTCCAATCCCCAAGCAGTCATGGGGAAGGCACAGGACCAGGCAGTGTTTCATTCAGTTGTGCATTGGGTCGCCAGAAGTTGGGGGCCAACTCAATGGCAGGTAACAACAAAGAAGAATAAAAGAGCAAGTAAAGAAGAGAAAGGGGAAAGGCAGCTAGAAGGATGGGCCTCTCCACAGCAGGAAGAGCACAGCTCCTGTCCCAACACTCCCCATAGGTTTCTCTGTTATACTGAGCAAGTCCATAGTGGTCCAGGCTCCGTATCCTCATCTAGAAAATGGGGCAAGAGAACTGATAAACCTCTGAGTGGAATTAGGGCCAACAGGGAGGAATGACAGGGAGTCAAATTTTGGCTTCTGATAAAGAATAACTTTCCAGCAGAGCTCTGTGAAGTAAGCTGGGCAGCGAGGAAGGGGGTAATCTCCCCGCCACTGGAAGCATTCAAGCAGAGACTGACAGCCTCCCTGCCTGGGATTCTGTGGGAGAGAAATGACCCCTAGTACTCTTCTCGAACATCCATCATTCTCCATGTAAGCCACTTGTAGAGTCCCTGCCGTGCTAAAGTCTGAGTCCATATGGTAAGCTGGAGGCAGGGCAGGGGCCATGCAGCTGGAGTGGCCCCTCCGCAGCTCTCCTGAGTGACAGGGTATAAGTTTACAGGAAAAGCAGCCAATAGAATGTCAGTCTCTGACTGCTCAGGACATCCCACCTTGCCGACCCTCGGACCACACTTCTCAGAAAGACCCAGATGCAAGCAAATTTCCCCAATCATAGGATGTTGGAGCTGGCAGGCACCGTGGGGCGGGGTCCATCTTGTTTTCCCTGTGACCCCACCGAGTGACAGGCCCACAGAACGGCCCTCCTCCCTCTCCCTTGAGTCTAGAGCACACCAGCACACCCTCGTGTGGGCTGAGAGCTGCTCACTTAGAGGGCAACCAGATGGACTCCTGAACGTTAAGGGGCTTGACCAAGAGCATGAAGTTGGTCAGCGAGAGAATCCATTCTAGAACTCAAACCCCCTAAGAACTATTTCGATGACAAAAGCCGCAGCTAAGCACCAGACGTTTCCACCCGGATGTCAAACTCTCACTTCAAACTCAAGATGTCTAAAAAGGAATTAATTATCTTCCTAAAAAATAGGCCACACTTCCTGATTTCTCTATTTCTATCAAAGGTACTTTTCACTCAACATAACAACTGGGACAACGCTCACAAATGCTCTGGGCCCCAAAAAATCAAACAGATACATGACTGAGACGAGATCCGACTGTCAGCCTCCGAACCATCTTTAGCTCTTCCCACGGCTAACAAATGCACATCCCCAGCCCAACCACAAATGGTATGATGCTAATTACAAAGTAGATAGGCCGATTATAAGGAGTACATCTTCAGCTAATTACAAGTCAGCCTTCCCCCTCCCGACCGAATCTATCCTTGCACATAAATAGAATGCAAGAGTCTTTCTCCGGAAGAACACTTCAATTCACCATCTCCTCCTTTCTCCACCACCACCTGTCTGTCAGTTTGTCTTACTGTAGTGTCGTGTTGCTGTGATGCTATCCCACCGGTATTTCAAATACCAGCAGGATCACCCATGTTTAAGAGGAGCTTCCTGACTAAGACTAGGAAGAAAGGGCTGGTGATCTACTTCTGAACATTAGCCATTAAAAACCTTATGGATCACAACAGAACACTGCTGATTTGCTTTGGATGCATCATCAGAAGGGATCAATTGCTAGAGGAGAATATGCGGTTTGGTGAAGTAGAGGGCCAGCGAGGGTGAGGGAGACCCTCGGTGAGATGGATCGGCACCACAACCACAACAAAGGACTTAAACACGCTGCCAATCGTGAGGATGACACCAGACCGGGCAACGTTTCGTTCTGTTGTATACAAGGTCGCCGTCAGTTGGAGTCGACTCAACATCAACCATCTACCTACCTATCCATCTATCTTTTCTCCAAAGTTCGTTTTCAGACCAAACAGGTTTAAAAGTGAGAGCCAGCCCTATGAATTAGGCGCCCTCCTTTTTCCTTAAGGCCAATGACGATTGCTTGGGGTCATATGCCTCGGTCATTTAAGCATGAACTGATTCATATAAGTCCAGGGAACGAGAGGTCAGAGCAGGCTAGAGCTTCCTCTATGGTTTCAGCTTTTCCTCAGCAGTAGCCCCAGTACCCAACTCAACACACACGCGTTTATTTTAACTACTATCTCCATAAATGTGGGAAGATACCTTCACTGATCTTACATAATTTAGCCACCTAGAGATTGACCTAGTAAGGTCAGTACTGGGGCTAAAAGTATTCCTTCCCATTTCACCCAGAAAATGAGCTCAACTCTCTAGTCTCTCCGCAGTTTGTAGATATCTTCCCATAGTACCGTTCTGAATCCCTGGGTGGTACAGTCAGCGCTAGGCTGCTGACCGAAAGGTTGAAAGTTCAAATCCATCCAGAGGTGACTTGGAAGAAAGCCCTGGCCACCATGAGTCAGAATCAATGTAACAGCAGCTGGTTTTTAATCACCTTTCACTTAGCTGTCTGAAGTTTTAGGTCCGTCATGCAAATTTTTGTAACGAGATTACTCAAGCAAACATCCAACCCACTGAAAACAAGGCCAACGCTACCTACCCCCCATTCAGTATTCAAATAAATGCAGAGAAAACTAGATACAACCGATACACCAATATCATTTGCTTCCAAAACGGCAGCTTACAAAATTAGGTACACATTCAATTCCTTCCAGCCTCTGCACCGAAAAAGCTCAAAGTTTAATGGGAAAGAAAACACGTGTGACTGAACCACCCATACAGACAAATAAAGTCATGCTCAAGAAGTGGAAGAGCTAAAAACAGCTGCTGCAATTAAGGACTAAATTTCACTCCCAGTCGTCTGGGGAAATCCAAGCTTTAAGATTCTCTCCTTGGCTAATACACCAGTTTATCAGCAAAGACAAACACTGTCTTGAAACTATAAGTTACAGAGCATTTTTATATGGATCCTTATATGAAGGGCAATGAGCAAAAAATAAAATGTTTTCAACAGCAAAATTGCCTGATAAGAAATATTATTCAAGTGACTGTCTCCCATGTGAATAATTTTTCTGTGTTTTATGTAAGGCAGTATGGAGTCGTGGTTAAGAACCAGGATTTTCCGGTGAAACAGTGTTAGATTTGAATCCTGTTGTCATCTTGTGCAGTCAAGTCGATTCAAACTCTTGGAGACCCCATGTGTTACAGACTAGAACTGCTCCATACGGTTTTCTTGGCTGTAATCTCTATGGAAGCAGATCGCCAGGACTTTTCTTCCGAGCTGCCGCTGGGTGGGTTCGAACCGCTAACCTTTCGGTTACCAGCCAAGCGCATACTGTGTGTCACACAGGGACCTTGGTTTGAATCCTAGCTCCGCCCTCATTAGCCACGTAGGTAAGTTACTTAACCTCTCTAATCCTCAGTCCTCCTCACTATAAAGACATACTGAAGAGTAATGTTGTAAATATTAAATATGGTATGAAAACACTGGATGTCGCACAAGGCACATCACATCCTAAATGCCCAATAAATGTAATGTGTTATTATTTGCTAAGGGTGACGTGAAGTGGGATGCTGGGGCAAAAGGATGTCCTGGGTGTATTAGGTTGAAGAAGCAATAGTCTGGGTTATGAAGGAGGGGCAGAAAAGGCCTGGGCAGAGAGCAACCTTCAGGGAGAAGCTGGTGTCTCAGTGATCTAGTGCTGCTGTAACAGAAATACCACCAGTGGATGGCTTTAAGGAACAGAAATTTTCGTCACAATTTAGGAAGCCAGAAATCCAAATTCAGGGCGCCGGCTCTAGGGGAAGTCTCTCTCCGTCCGCTCTGGGGGAAAATCCTTGTCTCAGCTTCTCTGGCTTTTCTCTCGTTTCCTTGGCCATCTCCACATGGCGTCTATCTTTCCCCATTCATGCTTGCTTCTCTGTGCCTAATGTGCCCTTTTTACATCTCAAAAGCTATTGGTTTAAGACACACCTCCACTGGTATGGCCTCATTAACATTACAGAGAAAACCTATTCCAAATGGGATGACATCCATATGTATAGGGGTTACGATTCCAACACATATTTGGGGGGGACCCAATTCAGCTGGTTTGTGGGGCACAGCACTATGCTGGGGAGAGCAGGTGTGTAAGCAGGAGTATACGGGGGTCCGCCAGCACTGAGGGGTGTCAGGAAGGGCTGGTTGCATCAGAAAGAGGAGCTACTAGAATGGAAAACACTGAAGACGAAGTGGAGTCTATTTCCTGGCCACCAAGGAGGCTGGTTCCATGGTCACATCAAAGACAAAGTGTCAGGTTAAAAATGAAAGGGTGAGTCTGTCTCCCCATGGTTTAAGGGGTGCTTCCTGTTGCCAGTATGAAGGAACTGGTACCTTTCTTGGCAGAGTAAGAAACTGATCATACTCACCATTTTTAATTTTTTTTTTTAATTTATTGTTTATTGTGGTAAAAGATGTTGTTGTTAGCTGCACTGAGTTACC